AGTTAAAAAAAATAATTTTTTAATAATTATATATAAAATGTAGTCATTTGAAGTTTTTCTCCAGGCTAGCCTGTGGTAATGACATTAACAATTACTATTAATAATTGGCAATAAATAATAATGACTGAACTGTGCTGAACATGAAAGGCAAAATCACTGAAAGAGCTGATAAAAGACAGAAGTAAAAGATTACCAGTGTGTCTACTGCTGAGTGAAAGCCAGGATATCAAAAGGGTTACTGGATGTATCCTCTTAATATATACTGACTATCCGCACTCTGTGGCAGAGACCGAAATACTGGAGGGCATAAAAGCAGTGAAAATAGTTTGCGATGATGAAGACAGTGTGGAACGGGGCGGGAGAAGAGAAGAGTGTGGAGAAGGATAGCAAGAGAACAAATAGAGAGGCATGACATCAGTGGGTCACAGAAATGGTTTATTATCTGTTGATGATGAAGTGTATAGTATTCTCAACTGGATTGGTCTGAGAAGTATTTCATGTTGGGTAAAGTGTTTTTACAAGCAAAATGATAGTGATTGAATGTTTAAAAAATTGGAATAATAATAATAATCTGGAAAAAAATAATGAAAAGCTATTTGATGATGATGGGGGTTTTAATGTCTTTGTATTGACTGATATGCATGGTATTTCCTTCTGGAAAAAGAAATGTAATACACTGTAAAGTTATATGTGATTCAATGTAATATAAATAAGATTGATAAAAAAACAAAAACAAAAAGATTACCAGTGTGTGAGGACCAGCAGGTGGCATGGTGGTTAAGGCGCTGGACGCTCCCACATGGCTGACCACAGACCTGGTGGCTTGTTTTCCATAGGGCGGGTGCCACCATGCCCATGGCTTGCTTTCTCATCTTCTCACTCTCTCTCTCTGGTCAAATAAAAATAATGAATGATAAATACAATAAATAAATAATTCTTAAAACAAAAAAAAAGATTACCAGTGTTGGGGCCAGCAGATGGCATGGTGGGTAAGGGCACTGGACTCCACATGGGTGACTATGGTTCAAGTCCCAGATCTGGTGGCTTGCTTTCTTAATTTCCCTCTCTCTCACTCTGTCCCATTCTGGCCAAATTTAAATAAATAAATATATAAAGTTAAAAAAAAAAGATTACCAGTGTAAAAATATTATACAGGTGATGGGAACCCTGACACCATGCTACCTCACAGTGACAATCAACTTGGGTACCTCCTTGGAAGTGCCTGAGAGTTCTGAACAACACTATTACATGAATCCCATCTCCAGAGATGCTCATTTAATTGGGGTGGAGTCCATGGTACCAGAACTTTTGAAAGCTTCTCAAGAGATCTTAAGTATGAAGTGAAGGGACCAGCAGATGGCATAATGGCTATGTCGCTGGACTCTCACGTGGTTGACTGCAGTCTGAGTCCTGGATCTGATGGCTTGAAACTCACATTATGCATGTGTGTGCCCAAAATTCCCAAGAGGAGAATGGAGGAGAAAGGATTGTGGTATGGCCATGCCCCCTTTGGGGTGAGGGGGTGACTTCTTACTTTCTGTCTCTGTCTCTTCCGCAAGCACATGTACCCTACAGCAAAAATCTCTTCAAAAAAAAGAAAAGAGAAATGAAGGTGGGAACCACTAAGAGAAAAATGGGGGTCACCTTTCTTCATATTATATTCCCTTTCCCCAGGTTCTCCTGATGATAGGAAGAAAGCCAATTTACTCACACAGGGTCAGTTAAAATTCTACTAACTTTAGGAAAGAGAAGATAGCCTCAAAAACCAAAAATAAAATAAATATTGTCATCGAACAGGTTACTTCAATAATTTTTTTAAAATTTTGATTTACTGAGGCTGACTGGTGGTGTTGATGGTTGAGGGCGCTAGACTCCCACATGGCTGACTGCGGTTCAAGTCCCAGACTTGGCGATTTGTTTTCTCACTTTCCCTCTTTTTCTCTATCAGTCTATCCCTATCTGGTCAAGTTAAAAATAAATAAGGTTAAATAAAGTTAAATAAAATAATTCTTTAAAAAATTTTTATCAGGGCCAACAGGTGGCACAGTGGTTAAGGTGCTGGAATTCCCACATGGTCGACCAGGTCTGGGACTCAAACCACAGTTGGTCATGTGGGAGTCCAGTACCTTAACCAAGCCACTAATTAATTTTAAATTTTAAGTTAATTTAATTAATTTACAAATTTAATTTTTAAAAATTTGACTTCCATTTGTGTTTCTAGAACATCTAATTGGCAAGCTAAATGTTCCTTCAATAGTCATCACTGAAAATATTCCACCCTCTATGACATTTTATTAAGCTAGCATATTGGAAGACAATTCCATTTTCTTTTGGAAGGAAAAGAATTTGATTCCTTTTTGGGGACCACCCACATTTGCCACAGACCAAGAATTCTAAAAGTAAGTCTGATGAATCCTGTGTAAAATACTAAAAGACACCTGCATGAAATAGCAAAAAGTTTTAGAAAAGTAAATGACTTCGGATCTTGTAAATCAAGTAAGTCTCCACTGTTAGCCCTCCTAGAGGAAAATGCTGAAGAAGTCTAAGCTGAATGAAGGCTATTTGTCCCTCCGGCCCATCTCAGTAGGGCTGGGAGGAACCAGAGCGCCGAGTGGGAGCAGTGGAGCCCGGGCCAGCTGGACTGTGTCCCTTGAGTAGAATGTGAAGTGTTCTCATTCAGATGCACCGTCACCTCCCCGCCCCAGTTCTCTACAGGATCAGCAATAGCTGCTTCTCTGCATAATCTCGGGCCAGTACCTGCCAAAGCGGTTGACAAAGAGTCCAACAGAAAAGGAGCCAATCATGCCACCAATGGAGAAGATGGCCACCGACAAGGACCAGAGGGACGTGAGCAGCACGTCAGAGGGCAGATCCTCCAATCGCTCCTCCAGAGTGTAATTGAGAAAGTCCCTTATGATCTGCAAAATAAAATAGGTGGTGAGAGGACAATTAGAGTCGGATGAGAGAGAACAAAAGAGACAAAAAGCAGGGACTGTATCCCCCCTAAGAGAACAGCATTATGATTATTTTATAGGTGGAAAATCAAGGGAATGAAGATGAGACTGGGAGAGACAGATAAAAGGAGTTAACGTTACCAGTTCTGAAGAGCAATATTTTGGTTCATCCCGGAAAACCCCAGTAGGTGGCAGCACTACTGTTCAGCTACCCCAGCCCTCTCTGAACAGCCTGGCCCGCACCCCCAACCCACCCCCACCCCAGGAGTAATATAAGCAGCACATCACCCCAGGGTGAGAGGCTCAGTACCCACCAGGGCATAGGCCAGGGCATAGGGAACTAACAAGCTGTTTGCTTGGATTCAGTGACTCAACTAGGCTTCCCACTACCCCCCACTAACATATTCTCTCCAGACTACACAGTTTGTCTTCAGTCATGAATTCTTGAAGCCCTCTTTTTTTTTTTTTTTTTGGAGAGATTTTTGCTACAGGGCATGTGTGCTCGCCAGGCAGACAGAGAGAGCCATTAGAGACAGACTGCGAGACATCACCCCCCTGGGGGGATGGCCACGCCGCAATTCCTTCTCCTCCATTCTCCTCTCGGGATCTTGGGCACGTGGGCACCTGCGCCCTGCGCGAGTTTTAAACCACCGGGTCCGGGATGTGAACCGCGGTCGACTACGTGGGAGTCCAGCAACACAGCCATTACGCTAACTGCTGGTTCTCTTGAAGGCCTCTTTAAAACATAGGAATAACTTCCCTCTCTCAAAATCAACTCTCAATGTGCCACTCACCGCCTCAGGGGCATTGATGACTCCAGTGTTGTAGCCAAACTGGAAAGAGCCGATGGTAGCGATGGTGATGGCGAAGATGAGACGCCCGGTGACCTAGCAGACAGGACAGAGAGGAGAAACAGGCCTTCAAACTTTGATAGGTGACTGGTCTCTTACGAACTCTGGAGATGTATTATATTAGGAGAATCTGACCTATGGGTGGTGTGAAAAGGGCAAAAAGAATCCCCTAATAATCTAATAAATGGGGAACACAGTGGAGTAAGTTACACTGAAGAACTTACCTAGAGAAACACATGAGGAATGTGGAATTAGCTGGGGGAAAGGATGTGGCATTTGGAAGGGAGGAAGTTAAGAGGAACTGAGTGAGTTTGGAAGCATTTGAAAACCTGCACCAGGTGAAGGCAGGCACAGCCGTGCGTTCACAAGCTGGGAGGGCAGAGGGAAAGAACCTTTCGGATCACCAAGAACTGCTGTTCTGACACCCTACATCCAGTGCAGTCTCACTTGGACTCCTGACCCACGGAAGCCAGGGAGCAGAGGTACCTGTGCATCATTGCCATGGGGCAGCTCTTAAAGACTCCTCTCTGGACCCTGTAACCTGCGGAATCTAACCCTCTTGAAAGTCTTCCTGCTTCAGAAATACTGTTCTGCTCTCCCCCACCCAGCAGGGGGAGAACCCTGTGCGCTCCCAACCCAGCCTACAGGAGACATGTCCTAGTGCGAGGAATCGACCAGTCATTCCTCATCTTGCCGGACACAATTCGGGTGGGCAGGTAGGTGTCACCTTCAATTTCCAGCTCAGGGCAGCTCCACTTCTATGCTTGAAGCCACCCTGGATGGCCCCCCATCCTTCAGCCTTTCCTTGTCTTAGACTCCTGTCCTTGCAGGGCGGACAGGGTGGCAGGCAGGGAGCCTCGGCTGGCGACCTGGCGCTGACCTTGCCTGTGGTCACCAAGCGGAGTCGTTCCCCCTAAGCAAAGCCTTCCTGAGCGCCCCGAGGACCATCGACTACCCGTTTCCTTTTAGTGAAAGCCCCCTTTCCCCTGTTCATGCATGGCCTTTGAAGACCTCTTCCGTCCCATATTTTTCGTCCCTACAAATGACTGCATACACAACATACAATATTAATCGATTCATTCTGCACTCACGATCATAACTACCATAAAGAAGACAACTGGGATTCTCCCTCCTTGGTATCTGGCCAACCCCGTAGGTTCTGGAACACAGACCAGCACCCCCAAACACGGTGGGGGTCCTCTCAAGGGCTAACGCTCCCAGAGCCGGCTCCGCGCCGGCTGGGGGCCGGGCAGTGTCGACCCTCTGCCGGCTCCACCTCCTCCTCCGCGCGGACCCCGTGGAGCCGCCGGAGGAGCCAGCGCGCTTCTCCAGGAGGGAAGGTGCGCGGCACGGGAAATCCGTTATCGGCTATGACATTCGAAGAGAACCGGAGAAACAGTAGCGGTGCAGGCTGGAGAAGAAATGGAAAGGCCTTACGATGGCCTTGGTGACTTAGAGGGGAAACGCGACACGCCGTCACCACCCAGCTTTGCCTCTCAGTGTACGAGCCAAGCCATCAGGAAGGTACCACTCTTACCTTGTACGACCCCATGGCCCCAATTTAATTATTTTTCAAGTCCTCAGGGAAGAGCTAGGGGAGGGGCGTTCGTAGACAGCTCTTCCAGGCGACGAAACCTTCACAGTGTCCTTCTGAGCCGCAAGTTCCCGTCAGGTCGGCGATCCCGGACCCGGCCCTCACTCGCTCTCCATTACAGCATCCCCTCGCGAGCCCGCGCGAGCCCATTTATCATCTCCGCGGGGGGCGGGGC